AGATATGCATCCACCTCCGCGAGGATCTCCTTAGGGATGGGCTTCTTGTCCGAGTCGACCTCCATCTGCGAGCTGGCTGGAGCATTCTCGAAAGCATTGGTTTGGCCAAGAGCTTCCAACAGGAACGAGGCGGTCGAGCTAGAAGTGGAATAGGTTTCCACGATGACTTCGGCAAGGACCTCTGGGGTGAGGTGTTTCCGCATCGACGATATCGATCGAAGAACACGGAGGGTAAATCTGGGGTCGAAGTGGGCAACGGCTCGCTCGAGCAAGGTGAAGTTGGATTTGATGTCTAAACTCATGCCAAAAAAAACAAAAAGGCATTCAAAGTTAGAGATCTGGACTCATTTTGAGCAAGGAAGAAGACTAGACGAACCTTGGATGGCCTTAGTCGTCGGGTCGACCTCTGGCTCGGTCTTCTCGACACCATCCTCCGCACCTTCCATCGTCACATCCTCCACCTTATCCTTGCCGGACGATTTGGAACCCTTGGTTGGGGGCACTACAACAGTCATCTTCTCGTCACTTTTGCGGTCCTTGCTGGTGTTGGATGAGGATGTAGGCGCACCTGCCATATCCTCTCCCATCTCAACATCTTCGGATCCATTCACACCATTCTCGGTTGACTTTGATCCATTCGTATGCGACTGATCATCCTCTCCCATGTTGCCGTTTGATGCGCCCTTTGCGTCTTTCTTGGTCGGAGCTGACTTGGCCTTGTTGGTGGCGGCGCGAGTGGTGGGCGTCTTGTCTTTCGCAACCGAGCTCTGAGAGTTCGAGTTTGCCTTTTCACCGTTAGCGGATGAAGACGTGTCGGATTTATTGTTTGATCGCAAAGAACGCCTTTCGGCCGGCATCTTTCTCAAGCTGTCAAGCTCAGCTGGGCAGCCACCAAGCTATCGGAAGAAGTAGGGGGAAAGGCGAGTGAGCACGATATGAAGACAGAAAGCAGAGAAGCAATTTCCAGAGAGCCAAGCTGCCGATATCACAAATATGATAAAGAAAAACTTGTGCGGACAGATGGATGAAGTGGATGGGTGATGTGATGTCAAGAGATGGGATGAACGGGCGCAAGAGACCCGTGGACCAGATGAGCGCTTAGTCAGTGGAGCTTACCAGGGCAGCCTCAACTCGGCACTTTTGCTGTCGAAGCTGTTCGAAAGACGACAAAAAATATCGAGAAAAAGTAGGCAAAAGTAAAGGTCGTTCTCCTGTGAATCCGAAATAAATTGACGCTATCGTGTTCAGCTTATTCCAGCGTGGCTAGATGTGATTGCAGACACAATCTGAACTCAATGCCTCAGGCATATATGCAGCTTTCATGGAGTAAACACTACGGTGAAGTGTAGAGCATCCAACCACTCATCCTTCAAGATTCAGAGCTTCGAAACACCCGCAAACATGTCGCTGCTCAATTCCCACCTAGACCAGATTGCGCTTTCTTCCAATTCTATTGCCGGTTTGCCGTTAGTGCTTGTGATATCCCTCAACCACGTTCCTTTAACTAACGCAGGCGTGCAGTTTCCCTCGCCCACGTATTTTCACCACTGCGCTTTTGGGCTCCCACGACATCACAGCCTTGATCCGTGACACTGAAGCCCATGAACGAGCCCTCTTCCAGGTCGATCCCTCTACCAAGGCTCATGGATCACAAAGACGCGCCACACGGCGCGGAACTATGTTCCCCGCTGAGACCGAAAGGGAGTCGATGGCAAGCCGTATTTATTCGGCGCGGGACAACCGTAACCAGTCTGCAGTGGCAAGAGTACTGGGACATGATATGATGGAAGAGATCAAGCGATCAGCGGGCACCTCAACTAGAGGACCCCGTGGGGAGGTCAACATTGAAGTGCTCCTTCGAGGCGCCGAGATCCTGTGCAATGTTTAGTGAGTGCCACATATCTGATGATGCCTCTTGATTTAATCTAACCAAGTAAAAGTCCAGTTGCCGGTGCACAGGAAAAGATTGCCAACCTTCGCTATCGGCATGAGATGATCAGTGAGTCCATAGCGCAGTTGGAAGGCCGGGTTGCAACGAACACTGCAGAACTAGATCAGATGAGACACTCCTATGGAGATGATGAAGATGATTTTTCTCCTGCCCCTGTGACACAACCAGAGATCCCAGAGGTCACTGATGAGGATATTGAGCGGGAGCTGGCGGAAATCCGAGACTTGGAGCAGAGGAAGCGAAGGCTAGAAGAACGGGTTACAGGCATGGATCGGGATCTCGGTGGTTTGATAGGCTGATTCTTTTCTTTCGCCATGGTTATATTCCTGCGTTGTGGAAGACTTTCTATTGACCTCTTGTGTCTCCCTACCCATCAGAAAAGGACATCATGCTCAGTGGGTACCTCCGGATGGATACCACAACTTTCTCTCTCAACAAAGAGTTTTCCAGGTTGATGACTCGTCCCTGGCTTACCCTGTCCTAGCCAAGTCTCCAGTCGTTATTGGCAACGACAGGGTCTGACAAGTTGTCAGACTCGGCCAGAATAGGCTCGTCAGTGCTGCAGGCTACTGTTCGTACCGAGCCGTTGTTCTGAGCAAAGCTTACTGGGTCGCTTCTAGTTGTTATCAAGAATGCGCCTCACGTCCTGCATCAGGTCATCACCACCAGCAACCTCTGCTGCCCATATTATTCATGCCAAGTTACCCATGGGAGATGTCTATGATACAGCTTTCCTTGCTTTACGATAGTTATGGATATTAAGATCTATCCATTATTCATGATATTGTTATTTTCTTAGTTGTTTTATCCCCTTCTCGGTCACCCCGCAAGCTTCTCCGAGTGTCTGGTCATATCTTTTTGGTAGTCCTTTTTGGGATAGTTCTCCCCCTTCTTGATCACCCCACAAGCCCCGAAAGCCTTGACTTGACCTTCTGCGGGTCCCGGGGAACATGAAGCCTAAAACACTGTCAGAAGCAAATTAATGATCACGAAAGTGGGACTTACTCCGAAAGATCATGAATGGAGGCCTACGACCCCTTGCTGCGGAAAATCATAAAAGAATTAAGGGGTCGTAGCCCTCGTCTCCTCTGTGATTCAGGTAAGAGGAAAAGAGGAGGAGAGGAAACAAATTAGAATTCAAGTAACTTATATAGGTCTCAGCCTTGGATTCTGCATTATGCTGAGGTCTTAATTAACTGTATAAGAGTAGCCGCGTATACGGCCTCTGTCTTTAATAACGTACGACTCTCTAATTCATCTGGCCTAAGATAGTGTAAGAGACTTTATAGATAATATCCAGATGTCTTTTGGGATGTCTCTTTAAACGTCTTTTTAGATATCTTTTCTTGGTATTATAGGGCTCACCACCCTACATTATACGAAGACGGTAAAAGGCATAAACCGTATACATAGATCACTTTTCTATATATATAAGGGACGATAATAGAAATTAAATAAAGCCATTCCCCCAAAGATTCCTTGGATAAAGAATGAAGCCGCGGTCCAGTTATCTAGAATTGGAAGATCAGCTCTCTAGCTGAACCTATAAGATGTTAAAAACGAGTTGACCAAAAAGAATCATTTTCGGAGCTTGAAAGTGGCCAACACACAGCAGAGAAAACTCTGCTATTTCTTCAAAGGGCACGTGAAGCTGAGTTAATACTTCTCTAGGTAGTCTATATACTATATAGATATCTTCCCTCCTTTCACCTCTTTTCTCTTTCCTGTTTACTCTCACCTCAATAGCTATTTAGGGACTTCTTCGTTCACATTTTACTTATAACCCCTTTCTCTTCGCGACTTTGAGAATTCCTACTATCGAAATCAAAGTTACAACAGGTGTTAGGAGTTTCTCCAATACCTCGAGGGCTTCGAGTTCCTCTCTTCCTCTTACCTGAGTCACAGAGGAGACGAGGCCTACGACCCCTTAACTCTTTCCTGATTTTCGGAAGTAACTATCATTTTCGTGATCATTAATTTGCTTCTGACAGTATTCTAGGTTTCATGTTCCGCGGGATTCCCCAGAAAGTGAAGGCTTTCGGGGCTTGTGGGGTGATTGGAAGGGAAAAAGACCTATCTAAAAAAGACTACCAAAAAAGGACTACCAAATGATCAAAGGGCATGACAAGACCGCATAAGCGGCCGAATATTCTTGTCGCTCGTGCCATCCTGCGTACATTTAGGGATATTGATAGTATTGCTAAAGGAAATCGCATGATACTACGTACAGCGAGGAACAATACATCGTTAGAGACACACATCATCCTCCAAGCCGCTAGGATGCTGGCTGTCCTGATTTCTAGCAATAGATCTTTTGTTGGAGGCCATGAACAGTCGGCGTGAATCTCTTGTCGAGGGCAAAGCGATGTTTGTAGCAACAGACGATCTTCTATATTTCCATGGACATGATGTCATGTACTTTGAAGAACTGACAATTTCTCTAGTTAAATGCATTGTGCACTGCAAGCAAAATATAATCAATAAAGCCAGAATGAAAATGCTTTGAACACTTGAACTATAGATCTCTTAAGGCAGGTGAGAATAGTTGACTCCTAAACTTCACCGCCTTAAAGCGGTCCCCCGAGATTGGTGAAGTAAGCCCCAGAGCCCCCCGGGGCCCGGGGCCTTTTAAGGCTTTCTCCAGGGAGGAGTAATGTACATGATATCCCACAATACCATAGACTAGTCGATCTAAATCAAAGGATATCAAATAAAAAAATGACATACAAATTAAGCCAAATAATCAATGTACATATATCTACGAGATTGTAGTTTGACAGAACATTTGGCCTCTGTTAAAGAGCGGATGCCAAGACCAGGCCCAACCTCCATCACCGCCGTCAAAAGTTGTAATCTGCCAGAGCTGAGGTCCATTTCATATCTGACTTGCCTATTCTACCATCTTGTGCGATATAGTATACCTCGCTTAATATCTAGGCAACTGCGAACGGCTATATCTATCGCCACAAACAATTTCGCCTCGATTATCCTGTCTCCAACACCTCGCGCCCTTGAATCCTCAACAGAGCACCAGTACATCATCGCGGAGATGGACGGGTCTCAGGGCCAAGTTGGCCAGCCAATGGGTGCCCCGCAGCAGCCACAGCACTCAAACCTCATTCGAACCGATCAAGTGCAGAAGTTGCCGCACCTCAGTGACCAGCAGAAGGCCCAGCATACCCAGCTCGTGCGCAGCCTCTGGGATCTGCTCAACACCCGCGATCCACAGACCCACGAATACCAACAGGCGCATACGAAGCTCTCGCAGCTGTCCCAGAACTTGATGAAGGGAATGCGGGTTTTCCAGCAGAACCGACAGCAGGCAATGCAGCAGCACCAGCAGCAGCAGCAGGCAGCGGCGCAGGGACAGCCAGGACAACAGCCACAGCAAGGACAGCAGACGCAGCCGGTACAACAGGCTCCTCAGGGTACCCAGGGACCACAGGGACAGCCGGTCCAGCGAACGCAATCCAACAACCCACAGACGATCAATCAGCTCATCCCTCAAATTCAAGCCCGGGTTAGCGCGCTCAATTTCTTCCTGCCTCCGAACGTGACCCCCGAGCAGGTACAGACATGGATACCCGAGGCTCGGTTGCGATATGGTATCGCTCTCCAGAAGCAGGAGGTTGGACGGGCGCGTATGGCTGAACTTCGTTCGTCATATGGTCAGCGGCAGGCTCAGGGTAATATGAGCCAAGAGGAAATGCAGGAATTCAAAAACCGACAGTTGGCGGCTGAAAAGCTCTTCCGAGAGGGTAGCGAGTTCTTGAACAAGTTCAAGGAACAGCAAGAAAGCTTCAAGATTCAGTCGCAGCAAAACCCACAGAATCAAGCGATGAACCAGGCTGGACAGGGAAATACGCCTGTTAATATGAACCAACCTCCAGTCGCAACTCCCGCGTCAACTCAAGGTGTACCAAATTCCCAGGCAGGAGCGGCAGCAAATGCCATGCAATCAGGGCAACCTCAACCCCCAGCTCCCCATACCATCAACTCAGCGGTCAACGCAGCACGCCAAACTGCCATGTCCCCTTCTACCTCTCAGCCTGGACAACCACCTTCCGCCCAATCTGCTGGAAACACTCCAGTCCCAATCAGCGCACCACTGCCTCAGCTGCAACGTCCACAGCCAACATCCCAGCAAGGAACTCCAGGAGGGCAAGTAACTTTTAGCCAAAACCCCCATCCTGACGGTTCCACCCCTACACCACCAGGGCCTCCCCAACAGGTGAACCAAGGCCCGCCTCGTCCTCTCTCACACCAAGCTGCTATCTCACAAGCCGCACAAACTTATACCAACCCCACCCCTCAACAGCAAACAATGAACCAGCAGGCAGCCAACCAGCAGGCTCACCCCCAGGGTTATCTTGCCAACCGTCCAGGCGAGACTTCTACCCGCAACACTAACATGGCAATCCCCAAGAACCTGCACGTCTCAACCCCCGAGCCCGTCTCAATGCCAGGCTCTCGTCCCTCTCTGTCCGGCGGGCCCAGCCACGGCGCCATGGGTATGATGGGTCAACCTGCGATCCAGAAACACCCGGGCTACGTCCTGGAAGGTGAAGGCCAACGCGTTCTGAGCAAGAAGATGCTTGACATCCTCGTGCGCCAGGTCACCGGTGGCGGCGAAGGAGAAATGCTGACTCCAGATGCGGAAGAGGTAAGTTTGTCCCTTTCTTTTAAAAGTGAAAGACAAATAAAAAAAAAAGAAGATCAATGTTAATATTCTCTAGTTCATCCTCCAAATGGCCGACGACTTCGTCGACGAAGTCGTCACCCAAGCCTGTCGTCTTGCCAAGCTGCGCCCTTCCTCGACCCTCGAGCTGCGCGATATCCAGCTTGTCCTCGAGCGCAACTACAATATGCGTATCTCCGGCTTCTCTACCGATGACCTCCGCACCGTCAAGAAGCCCCAGCCTACCCAGGGCTGGACTCAGAAGATGTCGGCTATCCAGGCTGCCAAGGTCACTCAGGGCAAGAACGAGTAAGATCCAGATGCAACTTGCATCACGGCTACTATCAAAATCTAGCGTGCAGCCAGGCTGGTCTGTCTTTTTTGTGGTTATGCTGCATACTACGCTTTGCTTTACGTTTCATGCTCCTTTCTCGGAGGTCAAATGGGGGTGTTTTCTTTGTCGTTCTCCTTTTTCTGTTTTCATTTTACACTTTCTATTGATTCTCTTGAGAATATGGCGTCTGCGTGATGAATGGACAGGTCTTACGTATCTTTCTTTGCTTATCTTGTTTGGCTCGTGTTCCATCATGGTTGAAACGTGGTTTTCGTTTCTTACTTAGGTTCATCTTTGCTTTCTTGCGACCCAGTTTATGCTGTGCTTGAATAATGAATTGCCTACCCTGGCCTATCTAGGTTTATTCCGGTGCGTGTGCTGGTAATCTTGTGTATGCGCGTGCTGGCTTTGGGTTGTACGTTTGTCCACTCCGGTCTGGAGAAGCTACAGCCATGTTGAGCGAATCAAGCAGCCACCATAGTATACCACCTGCGCAACGTACATATGTGCCTAGTAGTTACTGTCTGTACATCGAGTTCACGGAGTTTTCTATAAAGCGTATACTTTACAGCCCATTGGAAGAAGTAGTAGTAAGGAAGTTCCCATGCTGAATTCTGCTAAGTTGTTCACCCTCAGCAAATAAGAAGCACGAATATCGAGAGAAAACATGTGGTATAGTGATTGGTACAGGGTATGTATGGAGAGAGACTCGACCGAGGAACAAAAGCAAATCAAAGAGAAAAGAAAAAGAAAAAACGGGTAACACAAGAGAAATACAATAAGGAAAAAACGTTCGATGAACGGAGTGGGGACCGGATCTGGGCCCGGCGCTATTCTTTAGCTGTGAAGGCGTTCTTTGAGAACGAAATAAAGCAAAAAAGGAAAAAGGAAATGAGATGGTTGGTGAAAAGATTGGGTCATCGATGTGGCGCTGGCACGGGATATGACGATAGCACTTATTGGGCTGGAGATGAGGTCTGGTTATGATATAGAGAGTGTGACGACGATATGTTCGATCAACGAGGGTGGAAGCTGTACAGTCCACAGGTGGCCCGCGGACAGTAGAGGGTCGTGGTAAGCAAGGCTAGAGAGAATGAAGGCGATCGAGACGGCGAAGAAAAGAGACAAGGAGTCGGTGAGGTTGAGGCTCCTGGCTTCGGTTTCGGGTTCTTTTCCAAATGTTCCGAGTAATCCAAGCAAAGGTAAACAAGAAACACATGAAGAGACGGAGATGAATCGCTCAACAACAGAAATTATACACATGTCACTCGTAAACATCAGTTTCTTGCGGAAAGTGTTTGGGGAAAGTATGAGGACAGGAAGATGATATGCCTCGCGCAGACCCATGCTGAGGAAACAAAATAGGTGATTCTATCAAGAGCAACAAGGGGGATATCTCGCTGAATACAAAACAAAAAAAAAAGAAAACAAGATGAAGGGACGAATGGAGGTATCGAGAGTATGCCAGTCGCTGCAAAGGGCTAACGTCGGGCCGGACTGGGAGTCAGGAAATTGCGCCGGTCAACTTCCTTGCCTTTGCTGGGAGTTGCCGGTGGAGCATCGCGAGGGACAGGAGGCAATTCCTTGTCTGATGCTGGGGGGCCGTGTCGGCTGTGTGAGCTGCGCCCTCCGACACTGCTTGCCTCGCCGGCTTCGTCCACGATGGGGAGAGTCGAAGTCGGACCGGGGCCCCCGGCGTCTGCTGGGTCCCAAACAGTGGCTAAGGTTCGAGGATGTGTGACGGACACATCTTTCGATGCTTCCTTCTCCGCTGCCTGCATTGTTCGCTCGACAGAAGAGGATCTCGAACGTGGGTTTTCCGTCGATTGCTGAGGTGCACCAGACGCGGAGATTCGAGAATCGCGTCGTCGTTCGGCTTCTTCACTCGACATGGTGATTCCCTTGATGAAATTAATGAAGCGCTCTCCATAGCTCTCTGGCGGGATTGGAGAAATCTGTGTCCGGTCATGCGAGAGTCCTTTGAAAAAGGTCTCCAGTTTCTTGGTGGTCCCGTAATGAGTTAAGCAATCAATGATACCGAGGTAATAGATCTCGTCGCCAGGTTGGCCATTCTCATGAGTGGCCCGGAAACCTCCATCATCGGCGTAAAAGACATGATATTTCCGTTCATCGAGGATTTCCTCTGGCATCTTCGCAGCTGCTTTGTCCAATGGGACAGGCCGTTCACGTTTGATAAGCATGCGCAGCTCCCGGGCCTTGCGTTCATTCTCCAATTTCGATGGAGTGCGCATCAGGTTGTTGGTAGTCGTATCCTCTTCGCGGTTGCCTCCTGGCTGGAAGACCTGAAGAGTCTTGTCACGCAGTTTCTCTTCATTGCCTCTGCCCGCATCATGGATTCCTACCAGAAGAGAATAATCCATGATCTTGAGTCGCTGAAGCAACACAACGTCGCGTTTCAGTTGCTCAATGAAGAAGTCTCGTTTTGACGGGCCACATTCCAAGTGACGGTTGCGACGAACCCAGTTCAGGTCTTTCATAGTCGCTCTGGGGTTCCTTTCGAGATCTGACTCCTGCAGATCACGACCAATCGTCGAGCCCTTCAGGTCGAATGTCTGGTGGATATCCCGGTGAGGTGGGAACAGGTTGTTCATCACGACGAAGTGGATCTTTCGGCCGTATGCCATCTTGACTCGGTGCAATCCGTAGAATTGTGAGATGAGTGTGTTTGGGTTGTTCTCCACATGCCGGTAGTACTCAGGAAGGATCTTCCGGAGAAGCTTGTGCTCAGAATGATGAATGGTCTTGATGATGTACTTGTAGTCGCGCGAGAAGTAAAAGAAGCTCCCACTCTTGCCGGGGGAGCCCAATTCCGACAAAATGTACTTGCTTGTGAGGGACATAAGGTAGTCGGCGGGATCGAGTCGGAACTTGGCGCGGAGGTGTCGGAAGACCCAAGGTGCGTAGTCTTTGAATTTGAAGTCGTATTTTGCGGAGGGAATCAGTTCGTTTCCGGTTCTGCTCCTGTCAGTAATGGCCAAATTGTCAACGTTAGAAGGGGTACAAACATGTCAAAGGAGAACTTGTGTTTGGCATTAAAGTCCGCCGGGGTGAGTTCTCGGTCCATTTTCGCGTTTATTCTCGAGACCGTGAAGCGGATACCCGTCAACATGTTGTATGCCGTCACGTAGTTGACGTGGTTCTGATCCACCTTGGTGCCCACAATCACCCGCTCGTCGTCCTCCTCTTCGCGGCGGCGTCGCGCTCGCTTTTGTTTGATAGCTTCGGCCCATCGGGCCGCATCTTCATCCGGCGGTGCCTCATCCAAGGTGATATCTTGATGGGTGCTGTTTTTTGTTGCCCTTCTAATCAGACCGACCGATGCGCGCCGGAAGCCGGTCGTCGGTGACATTCGGCCACTACTGTACGCAGCATCATCGGTGTATTCTCGGCTATCTCGTCGAACACTAGGCGTTCTCGGTACCTGCAATGAATATCGCTGTCGCATACTGGAGTTCTGCGATTCTGGCACGGAGGCAGCGTCGAGTATGGATGAGGCGGGGGGGGAGGAGGAGTGGCGCGGTTGCCCGGGCTTCGAACTCGGTGTCAGGCGATCAGGGTCTGGAGAATAACGACCAGTCTCATCCTGTTGCGGGATTTGTAAGAGCGAGGCCGATGGCGAGATGGAAGACTCATCGGTGTAGGGCGGATGAACGTCTCCATTGACCATGAGTTTCCCCTGGACAGGCCGTCCATTTGCAGTGCCATTGGGTTGTTGGCTGGAAGGGGATGCTGCTGTGGAAATAGCTCCCGGTCCAGTATCGGAAGGTTTACGGTCCAGCATGGCGGACGGGCGGCCGTTCTCGCGGGGATCCTTCACGGATCCATTGCCTACCGAATGCATGCTGCCGTCCTTGGACAGGGGCGGGTCGCGCGTGTACGAGCCGACACTAGAGCGAGGGCCATTCAGGGAGTATGCACTGCCGTTCTTCAGGTCGGTCAGAAGTTGTCGGTCATTCTGATAAGAGTCGTGATTCACGTCGTTGCCGTTGGGCCAGTTGGTCCACAGGAAAGTATTTCCGACGGGGGTCTTATCATGCGACTTTCGAGATGATTCGAACGAGCGAGGATGGGTGGCCGTGGCAGTGGCAGTCTGATAGGGAACGTCGTTGGAGAACGCTGGCATGTTGAAATCTCAGAGAAGGTGACGTGAGTTCTGCGTGGACCGGCAACCCGAAGTGACGGCAGTCGCCCTTATTGGCGGAGATCCAGGAAAGTTGTGAACCGGACGGACTTGCAGGGAAAAAGGAAACAAAGAAAGTATAGAGCCAGCCTAGGGGCGAGGGTATTCAGCTCAACATAATCCAGCCAATGCAAGGGAAAGGGGAACGGTAAATGAAGTTGTAAAATGGGGAAAATATGGGGGAAGATGGTTGTCTGGGAGAAAAGAATTACACGTATGGAGAACATCGAATGGACGTGGACCTCCGTTCACATGCTTCTACTTGATTCATATTTCTTATATTTGTATGTTTTTGTTTATATTATATTCTGATAGAGATGGAAATTTTATTTTGATTCTGTACCTAGGGAGTATGTCTATGTAATGACTGGAGTAATATCATAAGTACCCAAGGGTACCAGGCTGCTACATAAAAACTCGGATGTTCAATGACAGCGGTTTATCAAATTTTTAATACATACTAACTAGTTATGTAGTATATTATATGTATTTCTTTTTTCATGGATTACTATTACTTTCAATTATCAATTTCATCTCTTAACTTCCATACCCCTCCAAGTTGGTTATGCAAGGAGATCGTTGCACAAGCCCCTCTATACGGAGTACTACATCGAGTCTCTATATAACAAGGCAGAGTATAAGGTAGATAGTCAAATATCTTTACATATATTCATATATGATAACATACCATTGCCCTAGGGCAATACCTATACTCTACACAGATACACTTGCACCTAGACAGGGCAAAGGACCAATTAAAAGTCAATAAGCCTATCTGTCCCTCTTTCTCTTTTATTTTACATATATAGAGATACACTCTATAGACATTAGATACACTCTAATATCTGTCTCTACTTGCATATGGTATACTCCGGATAATAACTGCGTTCCAAAAATAGGGCTCCCCATAATAAAATCTTCCGCATCTGTGCCACAGGGGAAATTCTCCACTATACAAAAAGACAATGTAGTAAGGATCCTCTTTGACATCCCCTCCACGAGCCCGGGGAAATTAATTGTCATGCCGATAGTAAAAAATAGACGGTCAAACTATAGAAGGATAGTCCAGGTGCATCCGTGTGCTGGTCAGACTTTCAAGTGTTAGTCTCGATTCTATATCACTTCTACCAATTATACTATTCTTTCGCTTTTCCTACCGTGATATACTCACCATAACAGATTTAGCTTCAACCTATCATCATGCTTAACATCATTTAGAATACGTGGTATCGATATGATCATTTCAGAGATTGCTATCATATACCCTAGCTATTACATCAATGTACGTACCTAGGTAAATGTCAATATGCATGGGACAACAAGGTAGGTGAACATAAAAGTTCCGCTTCGTCTCATGACTTCACGCCCGAAGAGCTCCTACCATTGAGACAGCAGACAGATCATCTTGCCGTTGATGCTGTGAGCCAACTATAGATGTTCCCGTGAAGGGAAACAAAGCAACACGGGGCAATGTTTTGGTCGATCAGACATACATCGCGTTTTGAAGGAAGATGGAGAAGGCAATGCAGTATGTTACAAGGGCTCTTGGAAGAAGTGAATAGTTACAGCCCCTGTATAAAGTGGCTTAAGCTAAGGCTTATTGCTAGGCCTTTGGACATTATCTTCTTCTATAATGGCTTTTCTAATATTGTCATGCTCATAAATTCATGTTGTGCACTGTACTCCATTGAGTTCCGACTTGTTCGCGTACACTCGCGAACAACCTTGATTTCAATCTTTGACTATCTTGAGGAGAACAAAACGCCAAAATTCCAATGAGAATAATGAATAAGACTTGTTTCAGTCTAATAGACCAAGTGATACAAAGATGCAAAGATAAAAATGAAACACTGACACGGGACAAGACATGGAGAGATCTACAGTTCGTTTACAGCTACGATATACGCGGTTGACAGTTTACATAGTTAGTAGATATGTACAACTCTACAATTTTATCTCCATGATCCGACCAAAACCAATTCGAATTCCACAATGACAATGGAATTAATCAAAATATCAAGGTAATAAGAAGACCACAGTTCCCCATTGCAAAACCCACCGCAGGACGCCATCCATTGGACTGTGAAAGAAGCAAAGCCATCATAACAAAGATACCCAAAAAGAAACAAAAAAGCCAAGGAAACTATCAGAGCCACAGAGATCGGTGAAGCCAAGGAAAGAAGTTACAAGAGAAGAAAGGAATCAGTACCAGGTACTCTCCCTGGAAATGCGCACGTGAAAATAATAGGGAGAGCTCAGCCTAGTGGGAAATAAACAAGAGGATATCAAGGCCTCTATTTCTTGGTAGTCCGCTTCTTGGGAGCCGCCCGGGTTGTTGTTGGCTGCGGGGCAGTAGTCTTGGTGATACGGCCAGACTTGGTCTTTCCCAGAATCTTGGGCTGCTCAACGACAGCAGGGGCCTGGAACGTTGGTCAATAACGGGTCAATCAAGGGGGGAGATGGGCTGAACATCCGGAATCAACTTACGGTGGCGGCAGTCTTGCGGGCCTTGCCAGTGTTAGCCTTGGGCTTGGTGGCGGCAGCCTTCTTGGCCGCAGTCTTCTTAGGAGCAGTCTTGGCGGCAGCCTTGTATTGCAATTAGCTGGGAGCATAGGAATCCATCCTCGATGAGAGCTTACCTTGACAGTGGACTTAGCAGGGGCCTTAGCAGTGGCCTTGGCGGCAGGCTTCGCGGCAGGCTTAGCAGCGGCCTTGACAGGGGCTTCCTTCTTCGCAAGCTTCAAGGGACCAGATGGGCCTAGGGGGCGACGCGTCAGTTAGATGGCCAAATAACGGATGGAACCATCCAAAACGCATGCAGGGAAATGCGGAAGTTGAATCAAGTCACGCAGAGTAAGACAGAATCAATGCGCGCAGGGTATATAAGAACTTACCCTTGGGCTGAGTGAACTCATCCTTCTCAACACCGGCCTTGATAGCCTTGTTGAACTGAGAGTCGAACACGCTCTGAGAAGTAACGTTGATCTTGTTGTTGGCCTGGACGTACTTCTTGATAGCCTGGCGACTAAAATCGGGAAGATTCAGTCAGTGGGTTGTTTCTGGAATAAATGGCGCGAGAATCTGGGCTGATCCCAGAGGCGACGAGAACACCACAAACATACCTGCTACCATTGCGTTCCTTGAGCTATAGATAGAAAGGACTCGAGTCAGCAATGAAATGCAATAAAAACTAAGAATTGTTTTTGTTGTGGTTGTCCACGCCCAAAAGCAAAGACGTGTCACGGTCGGGCGCGCCACCCGAATCACAACAAGTTGGCTCGCGCCGGCAGTGATCAACTCACACTAATAATGGCATCCTTGATCATATCTGTATGGATCGAATCAGCAGATGTTCGCGACTAGATTCATATCCATATCGCTTTTACGCGATATGGTGGGCATTCAGGATCAGTGAAACATACCGCGGTAGGAAGTGTGAGGAGCAGGCGCCGCCTTCTTGGACGCGCTGGTAACCTTCGTAACCTTCCTGGGAGGCATGATGATTGATTTAAAGTGAGAAAAGGAGAAGATGAAGAATGTCAAGTTGTTAGAGGATGAGATGACTTTCAAAAAAAGACGTGATGAGGGTGAAAGCAGAAGAGGAAGAGAAAAGGGCAGAGGGAAAGGGAAGGTCGCGGGGCATCCGTGATTTATAGGCGACCGGTGTTGACAAGATCATCAGAGAGGAAAAATTGTACTTTCTTTTTAATTTTCTTTCTAAAAGTTATCTGGTAGTTGATTTTTCTTTTGGTATTAATGTGGTGTTCCTCTTCTATCTTGCTGTGTTCTTTAGTGCCTCTTCGCGCGTTCTAACTTGGATGAGCTGATGTTTACACATTCTCTCTCTTTTGTATGAAATACTTGGAATATCAAGATACTTGATTTGTCTTCTTTCCGATATCTATTAGGATAACAGAAGATACTGCAATATTATAACGTGACAATAGTCATATACACTGTTAACTGGTGGACTGGTGCTTCTACGCGTCCCTTTCCCCTCGATGGAAATCGCGCATACTCTATTTTGAAGCATACCTGTAGGTATCTCTCGCTAGGAGATTCTTCTGTTATACATTCCAATGCCATCTGGGGCGTACCCTTCTGGGGCATCTGGCAACCCTTCTTTCAGACTGGAATCTGGACGCGAAGAACGCAATAGATCCTATAATATGACCTTTTATACCTATAGGGTTCCTTGAAAGCTTTGCTTGGGACCTGCATCACCTGAAAGGTCACGTTATAGAAGACTGACTCGATTTCCATGGTACAACCCAGAAATGATGTCGACACTCGCTTGGCATATACACCGGACAACTTTTATAGCAACATATATGTATCCATCTCGAATAAACTGTGAATTGAAAGTACGAGCTGATGATAATTCAGTTTTGGTCTTTTTCATTATGTAGACAGTAATAGGAATAATATAGCAGGATGAGCACGTACACCCCATAGAGCGACACAGATGACATATATATATACTATCGAAACCAATAGAGCAAATGAATATACTTTTGTAGAACTTTTATGAAACTGGCTAGATAACCAAAAGTCTGGCCATAACCAGAAGATTTATGGTGGCCAACTTCACTCAAAATCAGGGCACGCGATATATATCAAGAGAGGGGAAAACTCTCACCTGCGACGCCACTACCTAGTCACATCAGGATCAGCAGACACAACCAATGAAAGACGCGGAATAGCCCAGATCCCACGGTTCCCCGCTGATACGCACTCCTAAAAGTTACCGAGAAGAAGAAACCTTAGAAGGTGGTCTGGGATCGACCTGCGACAGATGTATGTATAGGGACCCATCTGAGCACGTTTTGCCCCGACGCCAAACATAGACGGATAATAATGAAAATCCAATCCCATTGGACTAAACCCTTGCCTACCGTATGACCCCAATGATTGGTCCATCAGTGTAGCCGTGCGACGAGGATCATCGTATCTGCATCCGTAAACGGCGCGTCGAATCAAGGGCTCAGCTGCTGAGAACGCTGATCCTGCATTACATGGACTATTGCTGCGTCTTTCGACGGTGTAGATTGCTCATGGTAACTGGTGCCAGCATATATTTTCCGTATTCGAAGTGTTTCCTGCTTTCCCTCGTGAAGATCAATGGTTGGAGTTGTGATCGATTAATCTCGCTAATCTGGCCCGATCTATACAACCCTGTACATGAACGCTGGATATCGACACCCCTGAGATGGCTACACCAGAAAATCTGAAAAGGAGATTTGATATGCTCATGTATGAAGGACAGATGGAAGAGAATAAATATATAGTTTTGGACCTTTCTATTATCTGTGGCCTCGAGGATCAGAAGAAATAACCGTGCCTGCTTCGCTTGATCTTGTCTGATCCTGGTGCCCAAGAGCCCGGGGAAAAAAAACTGGAACAATAGAGAAGCATCGGAATACATATTTCCCAAATTTGGTTCGAAACCAGGTCACCTTTGCTATGATACATGGAACTTCATGCCCTGTCCCGATCTCGAGACGAAACAGACATCCTCTGCAATGAAAATAATAAGAATGAAACAAATAACCACAGAACGCCCACGCCAGTCCAGCTCATGTTAGATCAGGAAAGAATTTTGCATCATAAATTGTTTTTGACGGAAAAGAAAGAAGCACCTCTCGTCAAGAAACTAGGCCGCTCCACGCGGCTTCGCCTTGGCCTCCTTCTTAGCCTTGGCATCTTCCTTCTTTTTCTTCTTTTGCTGCAGCAGCTTCTCGTCGTGCTTGCGTTTGAGAGATGCTTTCTCGTCCTCGGTGCGGGCGACGGGCTTGAAGAATCCCTCCAGCCGGGATTGCTGAGCAGTCTTGAGGTGCTTCGACAGACGGGCGGCACCATTGCGCACACGATCTTCATTGAAGCCCTTGTCCCCAACCAGGAACTCAATCAGACCTTCAACGTTGGGGGCGTCCCACTTGAAGTCGCATTCAGCGTGATCGGCAGGCCGGACGTCCGGGTTGGAAAAGAGTTCTCGCGCATCTTCGTATGGCCAGTCCTCAGGAACTACGAATTTCTTTTTCGGGTCGTTCTTCATGAACTCCAGCACCTTCTCTAGAGTCTTGTGCTCCTTGATTAGGCTGAGAGCAGTGGTGGCTCCCACCTTGGGAATGGGTTCCAGATAATCACAGCCTAAAAGAATGCAGAGATCGATGAACTGCATGGTAGGCATAGTTAGCAACCGTGATTACGCATATCATAACTATATAGGATGCCCTACCTGTGCGCGGTCCATATCGAGACCCTCAAGCGCTCGATCTAGGTGAATCTCCTGGATAGGTTCCTTGCGCTGCTCACTGAACGTCAAGTGGCGCAGGAGAATCGGCGACTCAAAGCACAATGTATCCATATCCTCTGACGCAGCTGCGTACACCTTACCCGCACGAGCCAGGACGGCGCACTGGGCTTCGGCTTCCGTCGGCGCGTTAATGAAAGGAATTCCCATCAGCTCAAGGAGCTTCTTGCACTCCGCGTTGTGTTCGCGCGTCACACGGACAGTCCGTCGTGAGAACTTTTCGATATCTTCCGCAGTTCCAGTTTCTTTGGCCTCTTCATGAGCCTCGGTTGCTTCAGCCTTGCGTGCAACACGCTTCGCCAATTCACCAGACTTGAGCTTTGGTGGGGCTCCGTCGAAAACGTAAAGAGGTTTGATGCCGTTGTCCACCATCCGCAGAGTACGGTAGAACATGCCCATCAGGTGGGACGTGGTCTCGCCTGACTCACTCATGAGTTGTTGGCCCTCCGAGCGCACGGCGATCAGGAAACTGTAGATGCTCATCGACCTATTCTTTCTGGGTTAGCGACTAGAGATTCTTGAGCTACCGGGACGGTTATCCAATGACGTACGCATCCTAATTCAAATAATTCGTATGTCAGCATCTGAAAATATATCGCAGGTTATACAATTCGTACAATTGCGACCTTGCGGCCGAAGTGGTTCTTGATCTCGCCCGTCTTGATCGCATCGGGGGCATTCTCGGAGATCACCTGGTACAGGTCTGAGTCTATTTAGCAAAGAGTCGCGGATAATTGAGAGTGAATACTTACGCTTAATACCCATCTTGAATGGGAGCTTAGGCCGTCTCAAGTTAGAATCTTGTGTCTGTGGAGAGAGTTGAGCTGGACCTGCCGCAGTACACGAACGCGCTGGGCTGGAAGCGCGACACCATTCAAACTTAATTGGGTATAGTGTACTACAAGATCAGGTGACCGGTCAAGCCCAGACCTGCTCCTGCCTTATTTCTGCCTGAATATGCATGTCTGCCTCAGGCGGCCAACCCGCAATGGATAATTCGGGCCAGAACCGACCGGTCCACGGCTGTGAAGCTGTCCCGACCCCGCCTTTCCGTCTTCCCCAGAATGCGCCAGGCGGAGGATGAGTCCAGCTTCCACAACAATATGAAGCGGAATCGCATTCAGTTCGAGGCCAATGGCGACGCCTCATCCGATTCTCCCCCGCAGGGCGTCTTCACCCCGGAGGAGCGCCCTCACCATGTTCCGAAGATCTCTCGACGGATACGGGCATGCACTGAGTGTAAGCGGCACAAGGTGCGCTGTGACATGAAGGCAAGTGACTCGGTGTGCTCACGATGTCAGCGCATGGGATTAGAGTGTGTTGTGAATAAAAGCCTCCAAACATTACTGGAGGATGAAGCTGAGTGAGTGCCTTATCTTCGATGTTTACATCGGTGACATATACTGATTGCGCCGGCTACGGCAGGTGGAAATCAATGATCGAATCAGCAATGACGGACCTGCTCAGGAAATCCCAGCTACCGGAGCTATCATACTACCAAGCAGGCGGTGGCACAATTGAGACGCCTTCGAAGAAGAGGGGTCGGAAGGACTCCACCGTCTCGACTGATGATAACGGACTTGCGCAACATAAAAAGACCGACTCAGTTGACAGTACAGCAAGAAATAGTACAGCTGCAAGGTCAAACTATGGCTTTCCCCAACAACAGCCGCGATATTCTTTGGACCGCGAGGAAACTGGTGCAACCTCTCTGGTCACAGCACCCATGGGCAGCCTATACGAGGTGACGCAGCTCAGTGAAAACCGCGAGAGCTCCCCCGGACAGAAGCTTGCCCCAGACCAAGCACTGGTCACTGATCTCATCTCACGCGGAGTGGTCGATATCAAGGAAGCGGAGGAGCTGTTCTATCAGTTCGATCAGGTACTCAACCGCTATCTATGGGATGGAGCTTTGCTGGCACATAAAGACTTGACGTCTGTCCGACGATCTTCATCAATGCTGTCTGCCGCCATTTTAGCTGTTACCGCGCTTCACATGCCGACCAAGGAACGCACGTTCGATACTTGCTACACCGAGTTCGCGAGATTAGCATCAGAGTCTATGCTAGGTCACCATCATACCTTGGATGATATCCGTGCACTATGCATTGGAGCATTTTGGCTTGCGGATGTTAGTTGGAAGCTCTCTGGCTATGCGGTTCGTATTGCAACCGAGCGCAACCTG